CTACGCTGTGGGCGGCACCGCTATAAGGGAGTGGGCGCTCCTCATAGTGTCCGATGCAACGCTTGCCCAAACCCTAAGGGGATTTTGGCGCGTTTTGTGTTTCAACGTCCAGGTCATGATCTTGTCCCTGCTGAGCCTACACTTGATAGGGCCACGTAACTTCACCAACGCGGTGGCAGCGCTGGCCATGGCAGCCTCGGTGTCCATGGTTGCGCTCTTAGAGCAGAGCCACTTGGTGATTAAGCAACTTGCATTTGGACAACTGGTGAATGTGTTCATTAGCACCGTCGAGGATGGTGGAGAAACAGGCGTGGCCATGCACGCACGTGGTGTGCTCCACTGCCTTTGAATACAATTTTTTAATTTTTTTAAAAAATAAAATCTACATCGGTTTTTATAGGAACTGATATAGAAGTTTATACACTTTTTAAGTCGCTTTATTCTACACCGGCTTTCATAGGAACCGATGTAGAAGTTTATACACTTTTTAAGTCTATGTAAAATATGCATCCTGTAGTAGTGAAAGCAGTTTAAAGGAAAATGTTAAGTTGAGTTGTTTTGTTGGGATATTCAAGAAGATATTCTAATTGATTGGACCTTTGGGGTCCTCCCACTTTGTGGTCTTGAATGGAGATATGTTTTCTGGAAACATGGATTTATTTTAAATGATGTTGAGAAAATGTCGTGTAGTGAGTTGGTGCATACTAGTTGTTCAATGATTGTGTTTGGGTTCCCTAAACAATGTTGTAAAAACGGTGTGTAGTGAAAATTAATATTTATATTTAAGTTTTTAGGAGCTAAATTTTCATGGTTAAATATGCATGATTAATTTGAAGTATCTCTATAAATTTACACTATAAATTGAATTGAAATAGTATGTAAAAGAATTGTTTAGATTGATTTTGGTACATAGAAAATTTTGAAAATTAATTAATGAAAATTGTCTCTCAAATGTATTTTAATTATTTAGACTTGGGATAGAGAGTTAATCCCATAGAGGGGGGCCTCCACATGTTGTGATGAATTGTTGAATTAATTGTGATTTACGTGTCTCTATGGTTATCATCTTTATCATCATCATTATATTATTATTAAGTTATTGTTAATTGAGCCGGAGAATAAGAGGAATGTGATCCTCAAGTAACTTGTGTTAGAAACTTGAACATGTGATGTGTTAATGTGATTTTGGGTATAATTAAGGATCATGAAATGTGATCCTAGGTATTTGCCCCTTAGGTAGGGTGTTTGGGACATTGTTGATTCAATTTTTTTTTTTCTTTAAAAGACTTAATTAAATAAAGAAATTAAGTGTGGTTTGATTTGGTTTAGTTTGAATGAATTAAGAAATTTGAAGCAAATTAAACTAATTTTTTTTCAATTTGGTTTGATTTGATTTTTACAACTTTTAAAATTTATTATTTAAAAATCAAATAGAAATATATTATATATATTATTTATTTAAGTTCGTACGCTAAAAATAAATCTAAAAGTAAACAAATACTAAAATATTTTGGTCACTTAATGTATTTATTGTCAATTTTTATCTTATTATTTTAGTAAAAATATTTCTTTAATACTATTTTAGTTATCAAATTAAATATTTTTTCATATATATAGTTTGTCAATTAAAAAAAGTTATTTTCAAATATTATAAATAATTCCTAATTTTTCATTCTAAAATTTAGCTTAGTAACTTATAATTATATAAAATACTTTTTAAATATTATAATGTATATTTTGAGAGAAAAACATCTTTTAATAACTTACAATTTTGTATACACGCAACTAAGATTAACCATGAGTTTTTTAAGGTCCTAAGCGAGCCCAAAAACATGATGCACTCAATTATTTAAGTATTGTCCTTATATTTTTTTATTAAAAAAATCATTACGATATAAAAAGCATTTTTAGGACCATTCACAATAGTCATATCTCATTTTGTACCATTTTTTAGCAATTTATCTTGTAAATCATCTCTAAGGTTGTTTCATGTTTTAGATATTATTAAATGCCTAATGAATTATACTGAATAGATTGTTGAACATGAATATGGTAATTTATATCATTAAAATATTTAATCTTATCATGATAATCATTCATTTTCACTATTTTTAACTAAAATATCAATCTCTCTATTATTTTTATATAGTTCTTCATTCTCATTTTTTTAGCTTTTAGAGTTTAGATTATCTAAATTTGTATCATTTGGAAGAAAAATTATAGGAAGTTTAACAAAAAAAAGTATCAAAATTACCCTTTTAAGAATCAATATTGATTTTAATTTTATTTTCTATGTAATATGTTCAAATCTAAACAACTAGACAAGAATAAACAAAAATCTAAAGCATAATCTATGATTCAAATTATGAATATTTAGTGAGTAAATGATAATGAAATGAATCAATAGTATACACAGACATGCACACGCATACACACACAAGTGTAATTTAATTTGGTTTGAAACAAGTTTACATTCTAATTCAAACACAAGTGTAATTTGATTTGGTTTCAAACAAGTTTACATTCTAATTCAAAAAGTTGAACTAAACAATACAATTTTAAAATTTTAAAAATCAAACTAAATTAATTTTACATTCTAATTCAAAAAGTCAAACTAAACAATATAATTTTAAAATTTTAAAAACCAAACTAAATTAATTTTCAATTTTTAATCAATTTACAATTTTTGTTTGGATTGATTCAGGTTTAGACACCCTTACCTTTGAACTTAGCACGATCCACCTGTGCACAAAACGTGAAAAAATGGTTTCTCAATATCAAAAGGCCCAACAAATCACAACGTTTTACTTCGAAAAGTTTCTGAAAGATTATAAAGAAGAGGATATGTGGAAGGTATTTCAGAGGTTGGGGAAGGTGTGGGAGGTCTTCATTGCAAACAGGAGAAACAAGTGGGGGAATTGGTATGGATTTGTACGGTTTATCAACTTACAAAAGATAAGAATATTGGAGAAACAACTGGATAGCATAAGGTTTGGAAATGTCAAATGAAAGTAAACATTCCAAGGTTTGATCGGAATGAGACAAAAATCCTGGGAAGTGAAGAAAGAAGAAGAATCAAAAGTCGAAAGATGCAAGAGATACGCAAAGTATGGTCGAGTGAAGTTGTAGAGGGTCGATCATACGCTCAAGTAGTCAAGCAGGGTGAAAAAGGAGTCAATGCAAAGTGGAGAGTAAAAGGGGAAGGGGAAGGTGAGTAGAACGGGCCATGGTTTACCACGGAGGATTCAAATAAGGAGTGGCTTCAGAAATGCTGGGTGGGAAGACTTAAAGAGCTAGCACTTTTTGACAGACTACAAGAAACAAGAATATACCATGAGAAAAAGGATATCAAGTTGAGATATTTAGGAGACGATATGGTGTTAATCTCGGGTGTGGAGGAGGAGGATTTTAAGGAACCGATATCGGAGCATATTCAGAGCGTGTGGTCCTTGTTTCACTCAATCCAAAGGTGGCACCCGTCATTAAAGATGGGAAATCGTTTAGTTTGGGTAAGATGCAGTGGTATACCGATACACCTATGGAGCAAGAGTGTTTTGCGAAGGTGACTAGCGTGATAGGCACACTTATTGTACTAGACGAGGATACATTGAAATTCAATAGACTCGACTATGCACGAGTATTACTTAAAACATCTTCTCTCCAGTCAATTCAACACCATAGTAAGGTTAAGATCAATGGTGATATTGTGCAAATAAGGATGGTTGAGGAAGTAGCTGCGTATGGAAACTAATGTAAGTGTGTGATGTGGAGAAGCTATACTGATACACTACCATCGGAAGAAAGCGACGTGGGAGGCAACGTGAGTTTATCATCATTAGAATGCTCAGAAGTTGAAAGGTGGGAGGAAGGCCAAGGAGCAGCCATGGTAGACAGCATAGACGGGGAGATGGAGGATGAATTTTCAAATTATTACCCAAAGGATCTTGACCAACAGATTTTGGGTAGTGAGAAAGGGAGGGGTTCGGTCAATATCAGTAGTCATGAGGCTCAAAGTGAGGATAGAGGTCTTTTGAGGAAAAAAAGGGTTGGAAAAGAGGGTGGGATGGCACGTAAGGTGGTGGTGCAGGCGGCTTTGCATGGAAAATGCAAAAAGGAAAATCAAGGTGCTCACGTAACCGATAAAGAAGATTTGATAAGTCCTATGCCGGATCAAGCCCACGTTGTCACTACATGCTCTAAGATGGGTGGTGGGCTGAATCATACAAAGGCACTAAGTGAGACTAACAAAAATTGTGAAAGGGGCCACGATACAGGTAAGGAGGGAAGGGTCGGCCTAATACAAAAGCTTGGTGATCAAGAAGCTATTGTAGGGCCAGGCAAAAGTACCAAATCACGTGAGTCTACCCAACCTTACGTGGAGAAGAACCTAGAATTGGTCTCACAAAACAATGCTAATTAACTTCGGAAAGAAGTGTATAGGGTGCGAAGAAAGTGAACATTCCACGACCATGGTAGGATGCTCTATAGATGGCACAAGCAATAGTATTGCAATTTTGGAAAATCTGGAAGTAGTTGGAGTCTCCATGGTAGTAACCGCGCCAATCGATAGTGAGCCAATTAGACCGCAATTGTAGTTCGAAGAGAACAATGAAAATAATGGATCTGCAATGGAGGGATGCAAAACTCAAGCAAGGTCGAAAGTCAATTCAGAGGCAGTAAAAGTTCACTTTTATTCACTCGTTTAGCAATTCTCTCTCTGATGGTGACATAAGGAACTACAATTGAATCTTTTGGCTAAATAAAGTCGTATCAGAGGCTATGAAAATCTGGGAGTTGGGTAAGGCTATGGGGGTTTCTTACAATGGGGATGAAAAGGTTGTAATCAAGAAAATTGAAGAAATGGAGGAGAGAGATCAAACAAACAGAGTTACTAAGAGGGGTCAAATTGAGATGGGGAAGTCAATAGGTTATATATGAAGATTATCTCTTTCAACATTAGAGGTCTGGGTGGGAGGGTGAAGTGGCGTAGTATTTGAAGGATGGGAATTAAAGAGAAAGTCGACGTATTATGTCTTCATGAAACAAAAAGGGAAGAAATCTCAGAGAAAGATTGTCAAGGTTTGTGGGGTGGAAGGGGGGAGAGGGATATTGACTGGAAGATGACCCCTGCAGTCAACAAGGTAGGGGGATTATTATGCGTTTGGTGTAAAGAGAAACTAAAGGTTAGTGATTCTTTTCAAGGATCTCGATTCTTGGGGCTGGTGGGAATTTGGAGGCAAAATAGAAGTGAGATTGTAATTGTTAATATATATGCACCTTGTGATCCTACCAAAAAGAAAAACCTGTGGGGGGAACTAAAGGAAATAAGAGAACAAAGTAATATAAAGGTGTGGTGTGTGGTGGGGGATTTCAACTGTGTACGAAAGGCATCAGAAAGAGTGGGGGTGAGGGCGATTAATGATAGAAGGGATACAACGGTAGTTAGAGATTTTAACAAGTTTATTAGTGATATGGATGTTGTTGATATTCCTCTCAGTGGTAGGTCTTTTACATGGTACAGGCCAAATGGGAGTGCTAAAAGTCAGATCGACAGAATTCTAGTGTCTAGGGAATGGTTTGATATTTGGCCTGGAAGTTCTCAAGTGGTACTGAATAAGAGTATTTTTGATAGTTTCCCAATTATGGTGAGACAAGCAGAAATTGACTGGGGACCCAAACCCTTCAAAGTCTTTGATCATTGGATGCAAGAGAAGGACTTCCGTAGGTTTGTGATAGAGTCTTGGAATGGGACGTAGGTTCAAGGGTGGGGAGCATATGTGATGAAAGAGAAACTGAAACAGCTAAAAAGCAAATTAAGAGAGTGGCATGCACGGTGGACGGATGATCCTAAGTCAAGCCAGAATATTATTGAGGAAAGGTTAAATGAATTGGATAAAAAGGAAGAAACAAGTGGTTTAACTACATAGGAAGAACAAAAGAAGAGAGAACTACAACAAAAATTATGGACAGTGGCAAGTAGAAATAATGAGTCACTTTTGGCACAAAAAGCTAGAGTTTCATGGCTAAAACAGGGGGACAAGAATTCCAGGTTTTTTCATACAATTGTCAATTGGAGAAGGAAGAAAAATGAAATTAGGGGTCTATTCGTGGATGGTGTTTGGGTGGATAATCCAATTATGGTCAAAGCCCAAGCAAAGGATTTCTTTTACAACAGATACCTGGAGCAGTAGTGGGAAAGGCCTTACTTAGAGGGGGTTCAATTTAGACAAATTTCATCTATGGAGAATAGCCAATTGATTTATATATACTATAAACCTAAAGGAAATCAAAGCGGCGGTTTGGGATTGTGGTAGTGAGAAAAGCCCAACTCCGGATGGTTTTAATTTTAGATTTATTAAATCCTTTTAGGAGTTGCTGAAGTTGGATATTGTTAGAGTGGTTGATGAGTTTCATCAGAATGGAAAACTACCAAAGGGTACAAATTCAGCTTTTATTGCCCTAATCCCAAAGGTGGTTGATCCCCAACATCTAGGGGAATATAGGCCAATTTCTTTTTAGTAGGATATATATATAAAATCATAGCTAAGATCCTAGCTAATAGATTGAAAAAAGTTCTCCCTTGGGTTATTGATGAGAGACAAAGCACATTTCTAAAAGGAAGAAATCTATTCAGTCAGTTGTCATAGCAAAATGAGACTTTAGATGAGGTTAGAATGGATAAAAGAAGTTGCATTTTCTTCAAAGTGGACTATGAGAAAGCATACGACTTAGTAAATTGGAAGTTCTTACTATACATGATGAAAAGGCTAGGTTTTGACAGTAAATGGATTCAATGGATTCATGCTTGCTTAGGATCATCCTTTGTCTCAATGTTGATCAACGAGAGTCCCTCAGAGGAATTTAAAATGAGCAAAGGCATTAGACAGGGTGATCCTTTATCTCCATTTTTATTTACTATCGTGGTGGAAGGTCTTACGGGGTTGATGAGAGGCGATTCAAAAAGGTCTGTTCTCCGGGGTGAAGGTTGGAGAGAATTCAGTTGAGGTGAGCATCTTATAGTATGCAGATGATACCATTTTCTTGGGTGAAGCAACCGTTGAAAATATGATTACTATAAAGGCTATTCTTAGGTGTTTTGAAATGGTGGCAGGGTTGAAAGTTAACTTCTTTAAAAGCTGCTTCGGTGCTATCAGAGTAGACAGAAACACAATGGTTAGTTTTGCACAATTACTCAATTGTTGTTTGATATAACTACCTTTTACATATTTGGGTATTCCGATTGGGGCGGATCCTAGGAGGATTGAAACTTGGAAGCCAATAATTGACAAGTATAACAAGAAGTTGACAAAGTGGAAACAAAAATCATTATCTATGGCAGGGAGAGTATGCTTGATAAATTCAGTTTTATCTGCACTGCCTCTCTTCTACTTTTCCTTCTTTAGAACCCCAAAAGGTGTGGTGAAAAAAATAGTGTCTATTCAGAGGCAGTTTCTTTGGGGTGACTAAGTAGAGGGCCGAAGGATAGCATGGGTGAAGTGGGCAAAGATAACAACGCCGAAAGAGGATGGGGGCCTCGGTGTTAAAAATATTGAAATTTTTAATGATTAGCTAAATGGAGATGGAACCTATTTCACAACCTCGACTCTCTATGGGCTAGAGTATACTACTATCAAAATACGGAAAGGATCGGCCTAATCTATGTTCAAGCTATGCTGGCATGAAATCCTCGATTTGGTGGAGGGACTTGCTGAAGGTATGTGGAGGCGACAGTGAAAATAATTGGTTTGATAATTCATATACTTGGAGGTTAGGGGATGGGAAAAACACCTTCTTTTGGCTAGATAGTTGGTTAGGGGAACAATGCTTAGCTACAACATATCCCATATTATTTCTAATATCTGAAAAAAAGACAGATAATTCACAAAATGGGAAAATGGGTTGGAGGGGCATGGGTTTGGGAGTTTTGTTGGAGAAGACAACAATTTGAATGGGAGAGAAATCAAGTCGAGTCTTTGCAATAGAGGATAAATACGGAAAAGATTAATGAAATGGAGGCAAATTCTTGGTGTTGGAAACCTGACACACCAGGGCTTTTTACTGTAAAGTCAGCATATAAATGCATTTATTCTTAGAGGTTCATCAGTGACAGTAGGAAAAATGTTGGAGTGGTCTGGAAGGTTCCAATTCCCCCAAAAGTGTCTATGTTCGTTTGGAGGTTGTTTAATAATTCTTTGGCTACTAAAGAAAACTTGCTCCTTAGGAACGTTCAACTTGAGCTCAAGAGCTATTGTGTATGTTTTGTAGAGCCAATTTAGAAACAATAGATCATCTATTTTGTACATGCCCCATGGTGGAAAAAATTTGGAATCAATGGTTACATTGGCTAGAATGTCCTAACCCATGGCCTCAAGGGGTTGAGCAACATTTTTTGGCCATTCCTACCTCTCCGAGGTCCAATATGGAGTCGACATACTAGCAAGTTGTGTGGTGTGCTACTACATGGTGTACATGAAATCTTAGAAATCAATGTGTTTTTAAGGAAGGTCAGTTTCAGGGACAAAATATGCTAAAAGACATCATGTTTTACTCTTGGGCTTGGTTATCAACATTAGCTGATAAGTTTGAGTATTCTTTTTCCTAATGGTGTGCTAATCCAGGTTTGTGCTTAGCTAGATTGAAGGTATAAATAAACAATGGAGAAAAGGCATAAGATAGACAGAGGATAAGGTTAAGTAGGGAGTAGTAGGACAATTTCAAGTCATTGATAGTTATGTAGTTTCCATTCCTGTATAATTATATATAATTTTCGTTTTGGTTGTTCCAAAAAAAAAAAACCTTTGAACTTAAATGTGGTTCCGTCGTTGGAGAAGTAAGTTGGTGGTGTATTTCTTATAGTTTATAGTGTCACTAAAGTGGAGAGAAGTTGCGTTGGTTATTATCTATTTATTTTAATATGTAACTGTTATGATGGAGGATAGTGGACAACATAATGCGGTTAGGCATAGCAAACGTGTCACTCAAGCCCCTTTGCGGTTTAGAGACAGTTAGTGATAATATAGGTGTAGTTGGAAAGAGGAAGGGGGGGGGGGGGAACATTTTATTTTTCTCTCTGTGTTATAGTTCCTCTTTCTCTCTCATACCCTTCTAAATCTTGTTCTGCACTTTCTTGTATTTTTCTGGTGTAATTCCTCTCAAACAAGGCTGAAATTTATCAATTGAATATAATAATTTGGAGGAACTTTTCCCTTCCCTGTTGATTAGGCACTCAACTCTGTCAACAAAATTTAATTTAACCGGAACCATTACAACATAAATAGATAGTAATCAATTAGATCAATTGTTTAAGCATATATTGTTGTATCTTTGCACCAATTTAATATATCCCTTTATTTAATTGCTGATTAAAAAAAAAACTATATAATAAAAGATTTCACGTGTCCCACGTGATCACCTAGTTTATGTATAAAATTAAAGTAATATAAAGTCGCGATGCCTTTGAACAGCTTTTCAAATTACCAAAACTATGTTATATCCTATTTGCCTACATTGTTAGAGACAATCATCGCAATAATGTATCAGCTACTTAACAAAACCACGTACTATATATAATATTCCAATGGGCCATCACATGAATTTTAAACCGTTACACCCATGTGCTTGGAAGTTGGAACAACAACTGACGTGTAAGGACGAAAATGCCACATGTATTATCCATGGTTGCTCCGGAAAATAAGTCACCCGGCAAAGCCATGTGCAAAGAAATTAATAATGATATTATTTTGTTTTCTCATATACTTTTCATTCCTGGATCCATGATTTCACACTAGTACAGAATATACATTTTATGTCGGTTATTTTAGGGGTTTTACGTCGGAAAAACCTCCGACGTCAAAGCGGGAGACGTAAATTTACTCCAGGTGCGAAAATTGACGTAAAAGGTTGTAAAAAACTTAAGAAAAAAAAAAAGAAAAATGTTGGATCGAGCGCTTACCACTAGGTCAAAAGCTATAGCTGATAGTCAGGGCGCAACTCTTTTTACTTAAGAGCGCAGCAGCCCAAGCGCCATGATTCGATAGTGACTTGGCCCACCTAGCCTCCGCCCCGAGACAATTGATGCAACCCGCAACAATCTCCCCCTCAGCAATTGCCCCGCTGGGTATCGAACTCATGACCTTGGCTCTGATACCAATTGTTGGATCGAGCGCTTCCCACTAGGTCAAAAGCTATAGCTGATAGTCAGGGCGCAACTCTTTTTACTTAAGAGCGCAGCAGCCCAAGCGCCATGATTCGATAGTGACTTGGCCCACCTAGCCTCCGCCACGAGACAATTGATGCAACCCGCAACAGAGACTAGCTATCTCTAACTTCCACCATATGCTAAATGACCACTAAAATAGCTCCATGGCCACCTATTCTCCTACTATACTTGGTTTGCTCCCATGTCAAGACATGACCATCATTGTCAACAAAACAGACAAACAACAAGGTTAACTTGATATAAAACAACATAATATATATAAACATGGAAGTGCATATATAAGATCATAACATACAACACCCAGCCTTAATTACTCACGACAACAACACTCATTCGCACCTCGGGGATCCATGCATAGTCACAAACACAACTCAACACCATATGTCATATATTGCATACAAAACACCAATGTGCCTACTTGCACTAGGCATTGTCATGCACGAACAATGGAGATCCCCTATACAAGTGATCTATTAGATTTATGCCTACAAGACAGTAACAACCTTAGTCATTCAAGTATCATTAACTAAAACCTAAAAGCTTCAATGTAATAGATCGAGTGTAGAACAACTTGGGTATGAACCTACCACAACATTGGTTTACAAAACTAAGCCCCATGTGGAGTTAGTCCACTATTTATCCCCAAGATACTATGTACCCTTCCAACAATAGGTAAGGATGCACCCTAGGTGACCACCCACAACTTACATGCCAATTCAACATCTAGGTTCATAGAACCTAGACATGACCATTCAATAGCTAGTATACAACGACTCACTATATACCATTTTCACAACACCATTTGAAGGAGAATCATGTTTTTGCATAAACTCATAACTATGTGGGACCACAAAGCTCTAGGCTCGAGAAGACCCAATCAATTGACATATCCCATTGAAAAACTCAGGAAAACATCTTAGTTTATCATTCTCCTTTAAACTGCCTCAAAAGCATTTCTATAACATGGGTGAAGGGAATTTGGCCTTCCTAACACCACACTCAACTATGTGAATTTGCATCTTAACCCTTCTCTACATTCATTCCTAACGTCATGCATAAGCACATTCACAACTTAACTATAACCACGCTCTTACTAATATCTAAGCACTCCACAACATACATGCATTTCAACATATATAAGTAACATCATCATTATCATCAACATAACATAAACAACTTCATCTATGGTGTATACATCACTAGACCCAAGACAAAAGTCTCTTATTCCTTGCCCTCAAGTCTATTTGGAACTCAACACTTATTCCTAACTCTAAAATGAGCAAATTAACCATTTAAGGACAACAACATTACTTCCTAGTCCACCTTGGCATACAAGTACATCACACAAACCTAAAAACACCTCTTGAGAAAAACAAGGTTCTCATTAAGAAAGCTCATGCTTACTAATAAGTGACTAATCTCTTTATGGCTCCTCGCTAAGCGAATTAGGGCTCATTGAGCGACCAAAATGCTCTTTCACTCCCCTTCGGTAAGTGAACCTTTTTTCACTTAGTGGCTACAATTCTTTATGGCTCCCTCACGTTAAGAGAGTTTTTCTCACTTAACAACCATAGCTCCTTATAGCTCCCTCTCATTATGTGAGCTTTTCTTGCTCCATGAAGCTTCAACTAAAACACTAGATTCATTTAGCATGACCTATCTTAGTGATCGAAAACCCAAATTTGGGTTTTTAGCCTTTAACCTATAAAGGCCTTCAACATATGAAGACCTTCTTAGTGAGAATCATCTTGTTGAGAAAGCAAGCGCAACACCTCCATGGTATTAGCACTCTCCAACACCATCTAAGTCTGAAACCTAACATGCAATCCATACAAGCTCACTAATACAACATCTAGATCACAAATACAACAAATAAAACAACATATGCAATTTAATTTTTGCATATAATCAACAATACAAAGTCATCTTCAAAATCTCCCGCAAAACCTAAAGCATGCATCTCATCCAATTCCAACATTTCAACCATCAATTCAACACAAAACAACAACATCTACACTTATACAAGCTATATAAGTTACAATCAAGTTTCCCTTACCTCAATTGAGCTCCTTACAAGGAATAATCAATGCAGAAGAAAACTCCTTTTACAGCACACTTAGAGATCCTTCAACTTTGATCCTTAAGAATCTCAGTTGTACAATCTTCCTTTGACTTCAAGATCAATAAATCTCTATAGTTTTAGAGAATATTCATGACCTTTGAGACACTCGAAAGCTAAAATCATAAAGCAATTTTAGAGATCTCTTATCTTTAACTTCTTCATAGAAATCTTTATTTATTAACTTATGCAATTCATTTCTCAAAATTCGTCTTATATACCTCGACCTTCCTTGAGCTAATTCTCATGTACTTGTTATATACTTTATAACTTAAGTGTAGGGTTATCTCAACTCTAACCCTCATCCCAACATAGGCAACACATCATAAAACATCACACTTAATTACACATATCTTAAATATACATAATTAAGAAAAACATAATGTCACAAAAGTAACTATCATTGCAAAGTTATTACTAATTTGTGACTAATTAGATAGTGATATTTTCTCTCGTCATTTTGTTGCAAATTTGCGATGAATTGGCAACAAAATCTATCCCCACTAATTTCTATTATTAATATGTGAATTTCTTGTAGAGAGATAAATATGATATAAAGCACTCACAATTTTGCCTTGGTAATAACCGCCCAATTTCCTTTTTTTAAAGGAAGCGGGTTCACATTTTGAATTTCAGCTAACTACTCAAAATTGCACCTCTTGTTTTGGATTATTACACCTCTCAATATTTTCTTTTTTGTTTTAGTTTTCATGAGATTATGTAACCAACTTGAGTCTAATCCATTCTCTATATCGTCAACTATTTTAGGTGTCAGCAACAATAAAGTAGACCAACATTGATGGGTGTAAATGGTAGTGACTTGTGTCTCTTAATCAAGATGTCCAAGATTTGAATCTTAACCTTGCGTATGATGCAGACTATGTTGGAAGGATAATATTCACCTTATATGCTCTCATGGTTCTTGACGAAGATTAGTTACTACTTCCAATAGTGAATACTTTGTATCAATATCATACTTATAAAAAAAAAAATAGTAACAAAGTAGTTAAATTAGCCGTTAGTTGTCTGACTTATCTAATCTCGCCAAAAAATTTTGTTGCTAACAATTTCATACAATATACACTCTTTTGCCTGAAAAGAAAAATGTTACATGTATGCATTTTAAAAAATACTGATGGTAAAAATTTTTCTTAAATTATTGACGTTAAATTATTAATTAATCCTGAAATTTGAATCGTTAAAACCACCACTGTTGCTAAACACTTTGCTTCAATATATATACAAGGAATTCATTTCTACAATGCATTCAAGTATTTCCTTGAAAATACAAACTGAGCATGCAATTGAAATTTGTTATTACGACCTAATCGGTTAGGTCATCGGGTTGATGTAATCACAACTCGAACATGATAATATTTATTTGGTGATTAATTTAAATACCTGTAATATATATTACCTATATATATATCCGTAACTTGTATTAAGCGTGATGACATTTTAATTCGGGATTGTGAACCTTCCGGAAACGTATAGAGTGACCAACATGAGGGGACAAGTTAAGATTGAAGAATTTTTTTCTTTATTTTTGCAACATGACTATGTACAATGTGTATTTGTACTTGGCTACCTGTGTTTTGCCTTTCGGGGTTTCACACAATAATTAACGATGAAGCAATGAGAATGAGAAAACTAAACTTCTACTCTCCCTCCCCCTTTGTGTCTACGCTTGAGAGATTGCATGCTTTAGGTATTTGAAAGCTTTCTGATAATTTAAAAAACCCATAAACCAGAAGTCAAAGTTATCTACAGTAACTATTTCTATGTACTTTTGCGAAGGCTTCTTCTCATGTTGACTTTGGTTAACACACCTTATCTTTTCATGTGGGATCACAACCTGCAATGACAAATAGGAAATTTTACGTTAGAGAGCCTGAAGAGACACATATTTAGAGGCTTTGTGCAAATTAAAATTATATATGTGAGTATTACCTTGTAATGGATTCTGATCAAATGACCTTTTGAAGAATAAGCTTTGATTGATCTCTCGCTGCAAAATGCAACTTTATCGGTGGATATGAATAAGAGGCCTGCTAGAGGACCAGATGTGGTTGATAGGTAGCACTGAGATGCTTTTAGTAGCTTCTCTCCATTTTTTACTTTGAATAGTTGCATGAAGACTTTTTCCACTCCTCCAACTTGAAGAATTCTAGCTCCTAAGCTTAATTTGCCTTTTACTGTATTAGTTATTTTTGGCCCAAGTTTTACTGCATGTCACCAAAAATATTTATCAGTAAATTACAACTTTAATATTGTGTGATAATTATGAGTTAGCATGGATAAATTTCTCAACAAATACTTATAAATATCGAAAAATAATTAACACAGTAAATGAATCAAATGTGATTAGAAGAGTATGTATACCATGTTCTTTGAGTCCAGTTGCAAAACTGTTAGTCTTTCTCCCAAGCTTGTTCATTATCCCGGTTAGAATTGAATTTACTTTACCTGAAAAATCAAGACATTAATCCAGTGTTGTTAATATATAAGCATATGATACTGTTTTTGAAGACCTGAAGATCATTATCTTTTCTCCCATTTTCTAATTAAAACAATTGATCGATTAAATAAACGATATATCTTACTTTGCTTTGAACTTGTGGTAGATGTGTTGTATTGGGAAGCTGGAGCAGGCAAGTATCTCTTTGATGGCTTCTCACCCAAGTATGCTGCTGAGGTGAATGGAAATCCAATTAGAAGCTCTTGAAGAAAAGATGCCATCATATGTAACCTTTCAAGTAAATTTCTTCTTCTATGATCTTATTTCGTTACATAAATTTAAGAGAGTTATGCCCACTTTGGTTGATGAAACCTGATGATCAGAAGATGTATATATAATAGCATATGAATCTTGACTTTTGTTTTGGATGAGTCATCTGCTTGTCATCATGAAAAATAAAGGAAGATGGTCATTCTTCGGTTCAAGATTGCTTTTCTGCTAACTTTTTATTTTAGAAAAGCAAGGTCTTGTATAAGGTTTGATCCTCGTCATGATTAACAAAAATAAAGTGGATCGTTACTAAGTTTGGTATAATGTGTGTAAATAAGGTAACTTCTTAGTGTGCAAGGCTTCGATGATGTTGACATATCATTGATTATAAAAATTAATAGGTTACAATGGTTAGAATATGGAGGTTGTGGTTGGTTGAACTAATTAGTAGGTTCCTTTTAGGGCAATCATCTTTTATTCAAAATTATAAGGAAATTATTTCATCAAAAGCTCTTAGCAATATAAAATTTAAAGGCAATCTTTTGGAGAATAGTATCATCTCTCACAATATAATGGGGGACATATTTTCGGGAATATATTTGATGACATATAGCTGACAAAATACAATGTATTACCTCTTTTTATACATATTTATTTATTATATGTGTGCGTTCATGTCAAAGAGCATTATATGGACTGGCAAGTTAGCTTTCTGATGCTAGACTAACATGTGATCTCTTGCAATAAGATATGAAATCTAGTTAGAAATAATGAAAAAGAAAAAGGAAAAACACTCCATGAGTGAATGCACCTTAAGGTAGAAGAAAAATGAAAAAAGAAAAAAAAGCTCTGAATGAGTACACCTTGAGGTTTTCTATAAAAGTGAAAAGAGAGAAAATAATACATATATAATGTCATGAAATGTAAAATAAACGTATAAATTAGAGTGTAGAAAGAAAATCAAATGATCACCTTGCAAATAACTTTTTACGCCAGACACATTTGCTTGGCTCTAAATAGTTTATGAAATTGATTAAAGATAAGATCAGTATTTTTCCAAGTTGGTTTCATTTTCACTTATATATAATTAAATTAATAGTAGTCCCAGTACGTAGAAACATTAGCAAACCACATGTCAAAAGCAGTCTTCTTAAATGGATGATGAAAATAAAACACCTAAAACTAAGCAAGTGTCACTTCTCGATCAGCATACTTGGTAATTTTGTAATACCTAGATGAGTCAGCTAAGGAAACATACGCATGTTATTAGGTAGGCAATGAGAACATCATGTGGTGGTGGAGTGAGGTAAGACACACTTGTTTTGACAAAAAGAGAATGCCAGATCAATCTAGCATCATCCTTATGCCCCACATGTAAACCGCGTTTGAACTTTGAAATGAAACCCAAGATTTCTATGGAAGATACTAGAAGGAAGGCATTAAGAAAACAATTAGAAAAACAAAAGATTCCACTATTGAATTAATTCAAAGTTGATCTCTTTCCTATGTTGCAATCCATTCTTCTTTTTTTTTACGCTAAACAAAAAAAAAAAATATATATATATA